ATAAAAAGAAAGCGCAGGATTCCATAAGTTGAATAAAAAATTTGATCACCTAATATTTTTGTTTATTCGTTTTATATAAGCATCTGAAAAGTACTACTTTAATTAAAAAGAAAGACGAGCCGGAATTATTCGACTCTCACGGTAAGCAGTGAAGATGTGAGAATCAGAAAATGATTGAAGGTGTCTCAATATTTAATTTAAACATAACATTATACGACTTGTTCAACAATAAATCTCATCTTCTCTTCTCACCATTTTAGATATAGATCAACCTAACACTCTCACTCTCATCTCTCTCTTTGGAAAAATTAGAATGGGGAGTAGTTACAATTATTACAGAATGTTTGGGTGCTTTAACCGTAAATTTAAGATCAGAGAGACGGAGCCACCACCGGATGTGAGGGATGCGTTTTTCCGGTACACCGGTAAAGGTATCCAGATGAATGCGGATCAACTTCTCCGATATCTGGTGGAGGTACAAGGAGAAGAAGGATGCACTATTAAGGATGCGGAGCAAATTATACAGCATGTTGCTAGTCGGCGGCACCATCTCATCAGGCGTCTTAACCATTCACTTGAACTCGATGATTTCTTTTTTTATCTTTTTCAGGATGATCTCAATGGAGCAATCAAATCTCAGGTTCTTCTTCCTCTTCATTTTTTTTATTCCTATTGTATTTGTTTTGTTCTCTTCATTCCCAATGATAATTTATTTAATTTGTCGTCGTTCCAGGTACATCATGACATGACTGCTCCATTGCAACATTATTTCATCTATACAGGTCACAATTCCTACCTAACTGGAAACCAACTCAGCAGCGATTGTAGTGAAATTCCTATAGTTAAGGCTCTAGAAAGAGGTGTGCGCGGAATAGAACTCGATTTATGGCCAAGCTCGGGGAAAGATAATATTCATGTTCTTCATGGAAGGTACAATATGCTCTACATTCTAGCACTGTTTAAGCAATTTAAATACAACGAGAAGAAGTAGCGTCTCTTCAGTCTTCGATTATCAATCTGAAGTAGTATTTCTTATTCAATAAATCCAAATAGATTATTGTTATGAATCTGTGTTATCGAGTGTATTGTTCAAAGTAACTAAGCATTTCTTATGCTCTGTGATGTCCAATGTCTGAAGTTCCTTAAATTGACAGGTTGATTAATTAACTTTGTTGAATGATTCCAGTTCTAATCATTTGCAGGACCCTGACTACACCAGTACCACTTCTTAAATGCTTAAAGGCCATTAGAGACCATGCTTTTGTTAAATCGCCTTATCCTGTCATAATCACATTGGAAGACCACCTGACACCAGATCTTCAAGCTAAAGTTGCGGAGGTTAGAATAATTCATTTGACTTTGTGGATAACTGCTCGAAATATTAAATGTTTCTTTTTAATCTAGTTTTAACTCCATTGTTTCTCTAGATGGTTATCCAAATCTTTGGAGAAATGTTATATTATCCTCAATCAGAATGCTTAGAGGAATTTCCTTCACCTGAAGGGCTTAAGAATCGCATTATTCTCTCTACAAAGCCACCCAAAGAGTACCTTGAGTCAAAGAATCAGAGAGACACATCTCCAGTGGGAAAAGATTCATTTAGAGAGGACCTTTTGAAGAAGGAGAAATCAGAAATTGGGGCCGAGGATCATGACACTGATGAAAGGGTAAAACAACATTAAATGGTCTCTTGATTTTCTTATTGTGAGATGCTGATCTACTTTTATGTGCCATTTTTCTTATCTGGACACTAGAGTGACAGCGATCAAGATGATGAAGACGGTGATACCTCCAATGATCAGCAATCATCCCAACCAGGAGCACCTAAGTACAAGAGTCTGATAGCAGTTCACGCTGGGAAGGCAAAACATGGTCTGAAACGTGCACTAAGAGAGGAAAATAATAAAGTCAGTCGACTTAGTTTGAGTGAACAAGAAGTTGTAAGAGCTGCAGAAAATTATGGAACTGATTTGGTTAGGTACTCCACAATTTTGTGCATATAAAATTGAATGATTGATGAGAATGCTCTAGCTCTTCTTGACTGAGTTTTCCTCTTCATTCTTTCGTTTGCTAGGTTCACACAGAAGAACATTCTAAGGGTGTACCCCAAGGGAACAAGAGTGACCTCCTCAAATTTCAAGCCTATGACTGGCTGGATGCATGGAGCTCAGATGGTAGCATTCAACATGCAGGTTAGTTTGAACTTCTGAGTGCTGGTGCATCCCGAGGCAGATGTAGAGTATTGACACTGGGTTCATTATAAGCCGAGCATAAATATATGTGTGAAAATCTACAAAATTGCAACAAATTGTAGATATTAATTCATAACTTAGTGGTTTCAATGCTAAAATGTATGTCTGTACAATGTTGTGAGGATATATCCAAGAATTCGTCATGTTGTTATGTGCACTAACATCATGATTAGAATGTGGTGTTTGTCAGAAGTTCTTGTACAGGATGGTGTATGTCAACCAAAATGCAAACTAGCATGTTAAGATACTGTATCAGCTCTGCAGCTTGAGCTTGTTTGACAAACGTTACATTTAAGGGCATCCATGCCTTACATCTCATTTTGTTGATTGCTTCTGCATTTCTTTGTGTCCCTAAGAAACTCCTCTTTCTTAAATGTGTTGTCAATGAATATGATTTAATAGATAATTCAACTATTTTGTCTCCCAGTTTTATTGTTTTAATCAATTTGGTTTGGTTTCATATCTGCTGTCTAATTGCTAACTGTATAAATAGGGATATGGGAAGTCACTTTGGATGATGCACGGGATGTTTAGGTCTAATGGAAGCTGTGGCTATGTGAAAAAACCTCAATTTCTCATGGATATAGGCCCACACAATGAGGTATTTGATCCTAAAGTAAAATTGCCAGTGAAGAAAACTTTACAGGTAAGCAAAATGTGTTTTCATATGGAGAGCTTAAAAAATTTCAAGTTACTAAATATGAAGGTATTGCTTAAGAAGTATAATTCTTTTTCTAAAAAAAATTCTGCAGGTTAGAGTATATATGGGAGATGGATGGCGCTTGGATTTCAGCCATACACACTTCGATGCCTATTCACCACCAGACTTCTACACAAAGGTTAGTGACGGTGACTGTTCCCTCTTCCATGACTCATTTGCTTACCTGAACTAACACATTCGTAGCTCTGCCCCTGTCCTAACCTCATAAGGTGTTATGATTCTTGTTTGGTGTGTCCTCACCTTTCTAACTTTACATATTTGTATGGTCATTGATGTTCTGCTTCATACTCCAAGAGGCTGCAGGAACTTATTATAACTCTATTGATCCTTGTGTGGCAGCTATATTTAGTCGGAGTTCCTGCAGATACTCGTAAGAAAAAGACAAGGATACTGGAGGATGACTGGTGTCCTGTATGGGATGAAGAGTTTAATTTTCCATTGACAGTGCCAGAGCTGGCTTTGCTTCGAATTGAAGTACGAGAATATGACATGTCGGAGAAGGATGATTTTGGTGGACAAACATGTTTGCCTGTCTCAGAGCTAAGAACAGGGATCCGATCAGTCCCTCTCTATGATAAGAAGGGTCATAAGATGAAATCTGTTAGACTTCTCATGCGTTTTCAATTTCTTTGAACTCCAAAGTTATTTTCCTACTAGGATTTTTCTCTTATTATACACACATGCTTCAATTTGTATCCCTCATGTAATTGCTGCAACTCCAGCTTTTGTACAGTGGAGTGATATCTCATTGCTGTATTGTTAGGAAGAGAAACAAAGCTTCACGGATGAAGTTATGTGATTCTGATTTTGTGACTTGTTTTGTACTCTTCTTAACGTTGGCATAAATATTCATGCACCAAAATGACAGATTTACTCGAGATCATCTCAGATGGTCATTCAATCTTTTTACAGTCAATAAATTTTGATTTTTTAACTCAAAAGTCCTTCATGATTCAACTATGAAATTTTAATTTTTAACTCAAAAAGTCAGTCAACTATGAACAGGAAGAGGATTGATTTATTCACTGGCATATTCAATATAGAAAGAAGACAAACTCTCAAACCAAAGAAAAAAAATAAAATTGCAGATGAGAATACTTGAGAAAATTCTTTTGCAGAGGATGAAATGTTTCAGATAAATCATTTGACATTAATTCTTGCCTGTATTACAAAATTAGCTTAAAGAAAAAATTGACATTCATTTTAGATGAATCATTTGACATTCGTTAAGTTTAAAAAAAACTATGAAAGGAAAAATAAAATAAAATTTAACCTACAATTAACTTCCAGTCTACCATATTAGCTGGAAAAATTAGTCGGGCAACCCCTCAAAATTTTAACTCATGCTAATTGGCCCGATTTGAAAATAAGACGAATCTTTTTTTTTGAATTTTATCTTTTAAGTAATAGTCTGGAGCAACAAATTATGAATGTTCTACGAGTTAAATATTTAGTGTAGTTTTATTGGGCCTGTTCACAACACATAATATATATATATATATATATATATACATACATACATATTCTCTTATATAAAAAGGCCTATGTGAACAACTTCAACAGTCAGTTTCAAGGTTTTTTTTTTATCTGTCTGTATAACAAGTTGATCTAGTTACTTCTAACCTTGTGATTAAAGTTGAAACTTTCATCTAAAAGGTCATGTGTTCAAACGAGGTTGGTTACATATGATTTGAACTCACCCCATAGCTTTAATAATTTAATATGATTACATATGATTTTTTAATTTTATAATGTACCGACTTCAATGCATGTAGTTTCACACGTTACATTCGACCAAAAAGGAAGAAGCAGAGAAACTCAATGTTTAAAATGTCTCAATCAGTAAATCGGATAACTACATTATCATAAGCCGACTAAAAGAGCAGACTAGCCCTTGTGGCCCTACCATAATTAATGGCCTTTGAAATTTATTAAACAGATGGCAAAAAATACAAATTGTGTACTATTTGTTAAATGTTGAATGGTCACCTATACTTTATTGAATACCCAATTAATTTTGTTTTTCTAACACATTTTTTTTAGTAATATAAACTACTCAACGCATAGCGAAAAGTAAGTTTGTTTAAATTAGTTAACACGACGATCGGATCCTGCCTGAGCAAAAACGCAAATCGTTTTCCGTTCTGGTAACAATGTCGAAACAGACGTACAAAGTCGGATTCTTTTTCCGGCGGCAGTTTACCATGGCTGCCGCC